ACAAAAGCTGCGGTGGTCAGGATGGACAGATAACTTAGAACCTGTCCATTGTTCTAACATCAGTGTATTCAATGTACATCTTGTATGAGAAACTGAAGACATTCATAGCACACACACAGTCAGTCAATTAGAGTCTAGTGTAATGCAAAATGACATTGTAGCTGCTAAAAAAATGAAGAAATTGCTAGCGTACACCTATTCTGAAAAAAATGATGCAAATAGCAATTTCTAACAGACTTAACACCCTGCCAAAACATAAGCAGCTAATTGCAGGACAAATGTAGTTGATCAGAGCCTTCCCAGTAGTTCCATGGTTGGAATTTCAAGGAGAGTTTGGGCTCTCATTCATGCTTGAGTTATCAATCTCTTTTAGCTTTGGTCTTACAGGTTCTGTTAAAGCAGTGATCCTCAAGTTTCTTGACACCAGGGACCAGTTTAGTTGAAGACCATTCTTCCAAGGATTTGTGTGTGTGTGGGGGTAGTTGTTATGCAGCAGGCTGTTGGAGGACAGCTTTGAATCGAACCCATAAAGGAAATGGCAAGCAGGAGGCGAGTTGCAGTTGAAGTTCTGCCTCCTATTAGATCATCAGTGACTTAGAACCTAATAGGAGCACAGGCTCCTATTAGATTCTAATGCCACAGGCACAGCTGATCTAGCAGCAGCTGGAGGGGAGCTGGGAGCAAAGCTCTGTCTCCTGTCAGATCAGCAGCAGCATTAGAACCTAATAGGAGTGCACTGACGGGCGATGAAGCTTTGCTCACCACTCATCTCCTGCTCACCGCTCATCTGTCCCTGCAGCCTGGTCCTTCCAAGGCTATGGACTGGGACCGGTCTGTGGCCCGGGGGTTGGGGACCCTTGTATTAAAGTATTAGTTTTGTTTTCCAAGTGAGTCTCATTAGTGCCAAGTTTTTTAAAATAAATTTTCACAAATCAAAGCAATATGTGATGTTTGAGAATGCCACTTCAATTTGAGTGCTACTCTGGGCTACCTTTCTTTGAATATGATGGTTGTTGTAGGTTTTTTAGGCTGTTTGGCCGTGTTTTGGAGGTTTTTCTTCCTAACATTTCACCAATCTCTCTGGCTAGCAAACATCCCAGAACACAAATAACCCAAAAAAGTACAACAGCCATTGGATCCCAGCTGTGAAAGCCTTCAAGAATACATTTCATTGAATCTGTTTAGGGACTGACAAGTACCCTTCAGATTTTAAATAATTTCCAAATTCAATGCACACACCCATTTTACAGCTATCCAAATCAGTGGTCTTCCTACAAAGCATTTGGTTAAGGGATTGATGATAAACTTTTGGATCACACTACCTCTTCCCATCACCTCATGAAAAGCTACCTTATACCAAGTCCAGACTAACCTTTACACTAAATGGTAGCTGTTTTGGACACTGTTGCCTTACTTGCTTTTGTTGGCCTTAATGCAATTAAGGAGTTTGTTGTCACCATCTTTAACCAGTATTTTGATTTAGGATTAGATGCTAACCGTGGTGGCGCTGCGGGTTAAACCGCAGAAGTCTGTGCTGCAGGATCAGAAGACCAGCAGTCATAAGATCAAATCCACGCGACGGAGTGAGTGCCCGTCGCTTGTCCCAGCTCCCGCCAACCTAGCGGTTCGAAAGCATGCAAATGCAAGTAGATAAATAGGGACCACCATGGTGGGAAGGTAACAGCGTTCCGTGTCTAAGTTGCACTGGCCGTGTGACCACGGAAGATTGTCTTTGGACAAAAACGCTGGCTCCATGGAGTGGAAACGGGGATGAGCACCGCCCCCTAGAGTCGGACACGATTGGACAAAAATTGTCAAGGGGAGCCTTTACCTTTACCTGCTAACCCTGAAAAACTGGTTAACAGAACACCTAGTTTGTATTAACTCTGATTAATGGAAGTGTTAATTTAACATTAACTACAGGTTAAAATGAACAGGAGGATTCATGTTTAACAAAAGAATAACTAGAAGGAGGGAACACAAAATTGTGTAGCCTGTATGCTTTCATTATATTCAAAGTGTAGACCACAAAACATATGTGCTGAATCATATTAGTTACCATTTATAGGGATATGTTTTTCTGTAGCAGTGGAATTAAATTTCTCTTTCATGGTGTTAGAATATAATAATCAGGTTTTATTGGTCATGGATATAACTCTGGAAATGACACTGATCAAAATATCCTGCCAGTGTTCAGTTTTAAAAGATTTTAGAAAGTAGCAACCACATTTTTACTTAATGGTTTTCATTGAAATTTAAATAACATTTTTAATTTTGTAAGATTTTGCATTTTTATTATTTTCATATTGAGCGCTTTTCTTTTTTGTGAAAGTGGCTATACATTGCTGTATGCTCCTAAAGCTATCTTGATTCTTTCTCATTAGGTTTTCTCCTAAAGGCACTTGTGTAGTGGTAAACGTATGCACTTTTCTGCTCTATTCCTTTGCAGGAGCATCCCATATTCAACACTCTTTTGTTGGTAAATTAGCGCAATTATCTTCCATCCCGCTTGTCCAACATATAACTTTAGGAAAAAATTGTTAACATTCAGCTTTACTAGTGCTATTGGTGGGGTCAAAGAGGAAAGTTAACAGACATTTACTAGAGGAAGATACATCCAGAATCATATAAAAACTGTTTGCATATGCTGCTCTTAGTTTTAGTAGTGTTCCTTCTTAGATCTGACACACACACACCCCCGAATGTTCCAAGTGGATTGAGATGATGAGTCTGGTGGTTGCAACTTTGATTACTGTAATACACTGTGTCAAGTTCTAAAACATGATGCTTGAACATGGACCTCAGAGCACTGTATAATTTTTAACACCCCTTGGTAGTTTGAGTGAATAGTTGTCCACCACAGCTGACATTTATCCCCAAATGGTTTAATTCCTATGCAAACAGACAATCATATCAAAGTTCATATGGATATCAAGTTAATCATTACTTGCTCCTGCCAGGCTCACCAGAAGTGTAGCTTCCAAACTTGCTCCATCTCTCTTGAGTGAATGAGAATAAACCACTGTTTTCACTCTTGATGAAGTAAACAGAGAAAAATGAGTCCAGGCAACACTGGCTTGTCTAATTCTACCGACTTTATTCATTTTCATTTCTTTTATGCACAAGAATTCAAAAATTATTGGTAACTTTTATCTTTTTGAGACATCAAAAGCATACAACTTCTTAAATATCATTCTTACAACTATTATCAAATGCTGTGAATGCTTAAAGATAAATGAAAACAGAACTTAAGTTGCAGGCAAATATTTACGTCAGAAAAATATATTTCAGTTATAAGCTGTTAGCTATAAAAGTTACAGATAAGAACTTAAACCATTTCAGTTGAAAAATACAAGAGTTTCTAGTCTGAAAATTTGCATCTCTTTAAAAATGAAAGATTTATTAAAGTGGAGAAACATTTCTTATCCTTTTACCACATTTGAACACACATGTAAAAATAAGGTTTTGAAGTGCTCACCCAACCATCCGCCAGTTAAAATCTGTGGAGGAAAATCCATGATTTCTGTGTGTTGCCTCTGTACTGCTGTATCTCCAGCCACTGCTTTTGCATTATTGTTTTCCTCTTCTCCACCCCAACCCTGGCTTCTCAGCTAAGCTTGACTTGGCTCTGCTGCTTGCTTAGCTAGTTCTCTGCTACCCTTCTCCGCCGCCATGGAAGCCACTCAGAGGTCCCCACCACCACCTGTCGTGCCTCCGAAGCACGATCGGCGGTGGGGGGACCTCCAGAGGCCTTCCCCGCTGCCACAGCCAATCGTGCCTCCAGAGAAGCTCCGAAGGCACGATCAGTGGCAAGGGGGACCTCCGGAGGCCTTCCAGGGCTTCTCCGCTGCAATGAGAGGCATCTCAGAGATCCCCCCTCCAATCATGCCTCCGAAGCACGATTGGTAGCGGGGGGACCTCCAAGATGCATCCCATGGTGGCGAAGAAGCCCTGGAAGGCATCCAGAGGCACAGTCGGTAGCCTACGGACCGGAAGGGGAAGCTTTCCCTGCCTCCCCCTTCCGGTCCGTAGGTCGATTCTCCGGCCGCAAAATTTTGCGTACATCGAGGGTCCACTGTACCTCAGTTGTAGATAGTGTATTGTGGGGGTGGTTTGGTTTGCTGTAGCTATATGATTGTTACAACTTTCATGTAAGGAACATGGATGAATCAAATCGGTAGCCTATGGACCGGAAGGGGAAGCTTTCCCCGCCTCCCCCTTCCGGTCCGTAGGTCGATTCTCCGGCCGCAAAATTTTGCGTACATCGAGGGTCCACTGTACCTCAGTTGTAGATAGTGTATTGTGGGGGTGGTTTGGTTTGCTGTAGCTATATGATTGTTACAACTTTCATGTAAGGAACATGGATGAATCAAACCTAAAATGAACTAAGATACACATATGCAATCCTTCTGTACACCCTGATAAATATAACATTATCTTACTGAAATACGATAATGTTAAGATAAAATCATCTGATCATTAGAAAAAAAAAAAGAGCAAATCAACATGTCCCTGCAGTCTACAGTGGGATAAATGCCCATCTCTTTGCGCCCCTGGTTTTGGGGTTTAATCTTCTTACCTGAATTAACCTCTTACAGGCAGTTTATTGCTGTTCAAATACCAAAATTTGACATCTCCCCCCCCAGCCCCATCAGTTGAGTGTGGGGAAGTCTCATTTGTACATTATCTCTGTCACTCTATAGTCCATTTGGAAATGCTGACAATTGCATCTGATGAAACCACTGTATTGGGAAATGTTTTTCTTCTGTTGTTTCCTAATACCATCTTCATCACATTGCTTGCATCTATGTATGAGTTGATGTCACATGTCAAAAGTCAGTTTTATTTTACTACTTACTTGCTTATAAGCTGGTGCTGTTTGTTTTTAGCATTATCTGAACTGGCTTAGATTCCATAGGAACATATTTAGACCAGTATGATTATATTAAACATGCATTATTCCTTATTTATGTAAGAAAGTTTGTATGTCACAATTTCAGGTGCTGCTGTTTTTTCAAGCGAAGGAAAAGGAAAACTATTCAACGTCACAAATGACTTTGGAAGAATGCAGACCATGGGTAGTTACTTGCTTGTTCATCTGCTGTCGTGATTAGTCATCTCTTGTGACCACAGTTTTCCAGCACCTCTCTTTTGAAGAAGGTCTACATACTTGCTTTGATTTGGTGGTTCGACATATTTTAGTTTGGATCATCTCTTCTGGAAGCTTTAATGCTACGTCAGCTTGAGACTTATTTGACCACTGAGATCCTGGACCAATGGCAAAAATGCTGCTCTTTCTTCAGCAAAACTAAACTGTCCTAGAAAACATTAGCAGTGATTAACTGAAGACCAGATATTTCAGAACCCTGGCATGTGCTGAGGTTTTTTTGGGGGATGCTGTATTGAAAACAGTTGATTTTTGAGAGAACAATGAAAATGAAAACATAACTACCCAAGCATTTCAAATATGTCTTGCTTTAAAGTATATTTTATCAGTAATATCTGCATCGATCCCCTCCTCCCCCATCATTGCTTTGATGGTACTGCATTTGCAAATTGTTACCATTAAATCCTACTAGAAAATATGGTACAGTCACTGCCTAGTGGTACTAAGACAAATGCAAGATGAGGACCTATCTGATGATATAAAGCTAAATGCTGTGTTTTTTAGCGGAGGGAGTGAATCGCTTGTCAGTAAAATCTGGGTTTCAAAATCTGTATTTGTTGTGCCTCCAAACAAGATGCAGTGTGGTAGAAGTGACAATAATGCTTGTACAGAAATACAAAATATTTATGTGATGCAGGTTGTGCTTCCAGTTATGTATGACACCAATGCTGAGCTTCAACAGAAAATTGCTTTGGGATTGTGAAAACACACTATTAAGAAATAACTGTGAATGGGGATTAGTAGACTGGGAAATTTGAAAATGTTCATCCAAAGCTAGTTGTGAATAGCAACCTGAAAGGTGAAGGGCTGGATGTGCCATGTAGATTTGTTTGCAAATTATTTTGCTATTTGATGTAGTTTTAAAAAATGGAAGTGGGTTGGATGTAATGCTGCCTTTAAGGAATGCTAGTCCATAGTTCCTGGCTGCTGGAAGGGGTTTCTGGAACTTTCTTTTCCTTTGGTGAAATATTGCAATGCTAAAATACAGTTGATAGGATTGGTTGGGTTCTTCTCCCATAGCTCCTTGAAGTGCCTGAATAATGAACAAACAAATGGTTCAGTATGAAAGGCAACCCTTTCCTTTTTGGCTCTCCAGATTGCTCCATTTAAAAGCCATAATGACAGAGGTGTGCTTTTGTCATGTTTAGCTGCCAGCATGATAAAGAGTTGGAATAAAAGAAGAAAAATGGCTAGACAGATGTGTTGACCAAAACTCAAATTGTGTGTGACTTCCTTTAAAAAGAGCCTCTTAAGAGTTAACTTTTAATAACTTTTTGTCTATCAATGCATGCCTTTTGGCATATTTATTTATTTTTTAATATCTTGTGGTAACATTCAAAATGTGTACTCGGATAAATGCACACCTTTTGAATTCATTATTGCATTTACAGGGATTGTTTTGTAATTTTTTTTTCCTGAACAGCCAAAAGTGCAGTGCATTGTCTTGAATTAGGTGCACATATAAAGGCATTGTGCAGATCTGGTCATTGTTAGTCACTGTTGCTGTTAATGACTTTAGTAAATCTAAAAGCTTGAACCTGGCCTATAAAAACATAGACTATATGACCTGGTCAAATGTTTTCACTTTATCTGTATTATTGATAATGTCTTACACTCTCAAGGAGATTGATCTTTATTTTTATTTGTGCTGAGAAAGTAGGTGATGAACTTGGCCATTCTAATGTGAACACTTTCTTTGCAGTATTTGACCAAAATTTTTTCTCCATAATGTTTGTAAATACATGCAGTATCTTTCTTATCAAACACCTATTCAGTTTCATTCTCAAGGGTTTCTTTGACCTGTACAGTGTTTATATGATCTGAACTCCTTACACATAACGGTGTGTATATTAATTCAATTATGGACTTGAAGTTTAAAAAAATATATAAAACCTGTTTGTTTACTGCAAAGACCAGAATCTAGATATTTCTATTTAGCAATATTTTGAATATTCCATTTTATTGCTAAGGAAGACTTTGTCCTCACCACACACAACTGGTCAATAGTAAGTTATGCAGTTATGTTCAGGTTAAACCACCAATGTTTGCATTCATATGCTTTCCCCGTTTAAACTAATAAAATCAACATTGCCTGGATGTCTGAATAATAAAATTCATCCCTGTTTAAAAATATGTAATGAATGAAGAAGAAAAAATAAAGGTAGTTTTTTTAATTGTCTCTCTCATTTTTGTTCTGCAGCACTAACTTGGTGAAGGTAAGTATTAGGAAGAAAGATCCATGTAGCCAGTTGTGACAATCATTTGTACTAGAATGTAAAAAGATTATAGAATAAAACAGCATTTGGGCTTAGTACAGTATTGTCATATTGGGGTAATTGGCTCTACAGTCTCCTTAATTTTGCTAATCTGAATATTTGTGAGGAAACATGTTTCTGATGTACTATATTTAATGAGTGTCTGCTAATCTCATTCAGTGCCACATTCACAAAAAAGTCTAATTTATAGTGAATCTCCTCAAGTCAAATCACCCTAGATAATGCATATTGTATGCTGCGCTGCATAACTCAGATGCAACAGATAATGTCTATAGTGGTATTATAACCTGGAGTAATATGCCTCAAAAGTTATACTGCTAGTATTACATCAGTGTGAATGTGCAAGAGGAATTGAGCCTGTGTTTCTCGTCAAAGCCAATGAAGGCGGTGGATTAAGAAGTGGATTATACCGGCTTGATACAGCACATATTCACTACTCTACAAAAATATTCACTACATAGTTAAAAAAAAAAGAAGTTATGTAATATAAAGGACAGGGTGGAGCCTCGAGGTGTCTAAAAGCAATTGTGTCAAGCAGAGCTCTTCCAGTACTACCTTTTGAATACTGTGTGTCCTGAAAGGAACAGTCAGAACCCCCATAATGCAGTACCTCCAATACCAACCTAGCCAGGCGATCCAACAGTGCTGTTGAATGCTACGTTAAAGTTCAAGAGAATAAGGTTGCACTTTCCTGTCCACTCTCCAGCATAGGCCATTAGCAAGGTGGCCAAAGCAGTCTCAGTTCCATTTCCTGTCTGAAGGCCCAGTTGAAATGCATCCAGATAATCGGTATCCAGGAATATTTGGAGTTGCAGGACCACATCCTTTCTAACCACCTTAGCCAAAACTAGTAAATTTGAGACTAGCCTATAATTAGTCAGAACTTCTGGGTCAAGGGCAGGATTCTCTAAGAAGAGTGTTTTGACAGTTAACCATCAATCCAAGCCAACTAGGAGAGGCAAGGATCAAGTGAGATGATAGCCCTCAGTATTCCAAGCTCTCACTCCACATTCTTAAATTATCTATTATAACACACGTGCCAGTTCTGTGCAGCTCTTGACAGAAATGTCAGCTGTTCTTAATATATTGACTAGTATGTATTAATGCAACATCTATGTAGCCATGATTCCCGCCTGTTGAGCTAACAATTTTACAAGCAGGAGATAATCCCATTTATTCGAACGGGGTGTTTCTGCACATAGGGTCTAGTGAAGTAGTTCCCAATCTTGTGTAACACAGATGTCCTTGAACTGCAGTTTCCCAAAATCCTATCTAGCAAAACTAGTGGTTAAGGCTTTTGGAATGCACTCCAAGAACACTTTGTTTCTGATCATAGGGCGTTCTTGGCAAAGATACTGGAGTGGCATTGCCATTTCCTACTCCAGTGCAAAAAACGGCGTGAAACTCAACATCAAAAAAACTAACATCATGGCCACTGGTCCCATCACCTCCTGGGAAATAGAAGGGGAAGATATGGAGGCAGTGACAGATTTTATTTTCTTGGACTCCATGATCACTGCAGATGGAGACAGCTGCCATGAAATTAAAAGACGCCTGCTTCTAGGGAGGAAAGCGATGACAAACCTTGACAGCATCTTAAACAGCAGAGACATCACCTTGCCAACAAAAGTCTGAATAGTCAAAGCTATGGTTTTTCCTGTCGTGATGTACGGAAGTGAGAGCTGGACCATAAAGAAAGCAGTCCGCCGACGAATTGATGCCTTTGAATTGTGGTGCTGGAGGAGGCTCTTGAGAGTCCCCTGAACTGCAAGGAGAACAAACCTATCAATTCTAAAAAGGAGAACAAATCTATCAGTTCTAAAGGAAATCAACCCTGAGTGTTCACTGGAAGGACAGATCCTGAAGCTGAGGCTCCAGTACTTTGGCCATCTCATGAGAAGAGAAGACTCCCTGGAAAAGACCCTGATGTTGGGAAAGTGTGAAGGCACGAGGAGAAGGGGACGTCAGAGGATGAGATGGCTGGACAGTGTCTGCGAAGCAACCAACATGAATTTGACACAACTACGGGAGGCAGTGGAAGACAGAGGAGGGCCTGGCGTGCTCTGGTCCATGGGGTCACGAAGAATTGGACACGACTAAACGACAACCAAGAACACTTGGGTTACCAGGGTTGCGAGCCACTTGTTTAGTGGATTCCTTCTTGTGAAATCAGCAGAAACAGAGGAACCATGCAGGAAAAGAACAATGCCACATGCAGTTCCTCAACAACAGGATATTAGTCGTTATTTGCTATGCTGGCAGTATTCACATACTGTAAGTAATCAATATTGAAACATGGGACAAAATCCTTTTGGCAGAGTTTTGCTACTGTAAACCAGATATGGGCGCCAGAAATAATTGATTTTAACTAATTAAAAGCTTTCTATAAAAGCTTTTAATAGTCCCTGTTGCATTGCCAGTAGTGGTCCTGATCCTGGCAGTGGTGATCCAAAATATATGTTTTACTATTAAAAGCTCTCTGCCCCATCCTGTGAATCCCAAAGGTCCAGGGTAAAAGGGAGCCCATGGAATCTGAAAGGGGGTTGGGGGTAGTCAGGAAGCTTTTAATTAGTTTAAATCGATTATTGCTAGCAACCAGATGCAATTTACTGTGGTGTAACTACACCAAAAGAGTTTTGCCCACTATATGGGCATCTGGTGATAAACTTATTAGTTAACTGCAAATATCGTGTCTGACAGGAAACCATGTTTTGCCCAGTGGGGTTGCTTTAAAAAAAAGCAGTAATGAATAAACTGACAATTTCACAGTCATGGAAATTCATCAGTAAAAAGACAGGGAATAGTAATTTTTAACTAGTTGATGTAGTAAGTATAATGTAGCGATGCCACATGCAAACCGTACCATACATGCACTTTGTCACTTTTAAAATTTATTCATAAATTAAATTGAGCTTTGTTCTAAATGCATAAAAATTATCATTCAGTGGCGTGATAATTTGTTATTTATTTGATTTATCACATTACAGCCGATGCTTTCAAACTGGTAATGACAAATGATCTATCTAGATATGTGGTAGGTGACTATAAATAGCTGTTTAGCATCTCTAGAATTAATCATGTGATGTGCCCAAAGCACTTAAAGCTTGAGAGGAACAAAGTAATAGGAAAGACATAACAAGGGATATAGATTTTGTTGAAATGTCCTACATCTCCCAGTACAATGGTGCTTCGCTTTATGATTGCCCCACATTACGATGAATCCGCTTTACGACAATCTTTTTGCGATCACAATTGCGATCACAAAACGATGGTCTAAATGGGGGAATTTCGCTTTGCGATGATCGGTGTAAGCCTGACAGGAAACCATGTTTTCCCCAGTGGGTTTGCTTTAAAAAAAAGCAGTAATGAATAAACTGACAATTTCACAGTCATGGAAATTCATCAGTAAAAAGACAGGGAATAGTAATTTTTAACTAGTTGATGGAGTAAGAATAATGTAGTGATGCCACATGCAAACCATACCATACATGCACTTTGCCACTCTTAAAATTTATTCATAAATTAAATCGAGCTTTGTTCTAAATGCATAAAAATTATCATTCAGTGGCGTGATAATTTGTTATTTATTTGATTTATCACATTACAGCCGATGCTTTCAAACTGGTAATGACAAATGATCTATCTAGATATGTGGTAGGTGACTATAAATAGCTGTTTAGCATCTCTAGAATTAATCATGTGATGTGCCCAAAGCACTTAAAGCTTGAGAGGAACAAAGTAATAGTAGGAAAGACATAACAAGGGAAATAGATTTTGTTGAAATGTCTTGCATCTCCCAGTACAATGATGCTTCGCTTTATGATTGCCCCACATTACAATGAATCTGCTTTACGACGATCTTTTTGCGATCACAATTGCGATCACAAAACGATGGTCTAAATGGGGGAATTTCGCTTTGCGATGATCGGTTCCCTGCTTTGGGAACCAATTCTTCGCAAAACAATGTTTTTCTAACAGCTGACTGGTGGTTTCAGAATGGCTGCCGGGTGATTAAAATGGCTCCCCATGTTTAGGGACAGATTCCTTGCTCTACAGGCAGCGAAAATGGCCGCTGTATGGAGGATCTTCGTTGGACGGTGAGTATTTTGCCCCATTGGAACGCATTGAACGGGTTTCAATGTGTTTCAATGGGGGTTTTATTCCGCTTTACGATTTTTTGCTTAACGGTGATTTTCCTGGAACGGATTATCATCGTTAAGCGAGGCACCACTGTATTTGGTAGGTAGATATCACCATGTTTGGTTGTTGTGGGTTTTCGGGCTCTTTGGCCGTGTTCTGAAGGGGGACAGCGCTGTCCCCCTTCAGAACACGGCCAAAGAGCCCGAAAACCCACAACAACCATTAGATCCCGGCCATGAAAGCCTTTGCGAATACATCACCATGTTTGTCTGATCCACAAAACAAGCTTGGTTTTTCTAAAATAAGGGGTCTGCGTTTTTCCCCAAGTTTTTGATGCAGTATATTTCATGCATTTCACAGAATGAATTTCATTTAATATGTAGCATTCAAAACTTCACTAAAAATAACTTTTGCACTCTCTAGCTGCTCATCTTTTTTAACCTAAAAGTGCTCTAATGATAGATATGTGGAAATAGTTACATTAAACACAGTGCAGCAATGCTATTGGATCATTTTTTAAAAATTCAAATACTGTATATTAGTGGTGTGATGAAGAAAATATATATTTTTATGGAGACTACATATAACCCATTCTTGCCTCACAGTCATCTGGAGAGGTCATCTGCCTTGAAAATTTCATGAATTGTGGCTACAATTTTAGACTTAAGTTGAAAGCATAACTATGCAAGTGTCCAGAAAGAAATTGATCACACACCAAAATGGTGTGCTGATGATCATGGGTGATTGAAATGTAGGTA